CGGTTAGAGGAAACCGATTGCTACAAACCATTTGAGTTAAAAACTAATCTATATGAGTACTGTGAACTTACTCCATTTAAGTTGAAGTAATGAGCAATTTAATTATTTCCTTTATTTAGCCAGGAGATCACATTGAGACAGTACTGTCTCTTCTTCCAGTGAGACCTGGTCAAGATGGCAGGCAGCACATAAAGTTTCATATAAAAATCACAAACAATACCACAAAATTACAAAATCACCATTCTTAAAAACATCCGCTCATAACAAACAATTGCAGGTGTCCTTTAAAATGTTGTGTAAAAGATGTTTAAAAGTACTCATAGTCGGAAGAGTGTCAAGATTGAGCTGATTTTGCAGGTCATTCCAAGCCCTGGGAGCGTGAACGGAAAAAGCACGTTTGCCAAGTTCTGATAATGCCCTTGGAACTATCAGACGAATACATGAACCAGATCTAGTAAATTAACTCATTACCTTCAACACTGAGTTCAAAACTCTTTTCAAAGTAGTAGAATTAACCTTTAGTCAATTTTGAGTTTACTACACTCACTTGATAAAGTTGACTGTTGGGTTTTTACTGTGTAATAATGAATTATATGAAGCAAATCAATGTAGAAGTATACAGTTGAGGGCCAAATGATTAGCCCTCCTGTGAACATTTTGATTCTTTTACAAATATTTATCAAATGATGTTTCACAGAGCAAAAGATTTTTCCATTTCCTATAATATTCTTTTAATATAATAAAACATTTCCTATAATATAATTCTTTTCTTATAGAGAAAATGTTATTTCTTTTAGTTTGACTGCAGTTTTAAAAAGCGTTAAAACTAATTTTAAGGTCAAAATTACTAGCCCAGAATAATTTTCAGAAATGATCATTTTCATTTTCAGTTACCTATAGACTTATCTAATTAACCTAATTAATCTAGTTGAGCCTTTAATTTGCACTTTAAGCTCAATAATTATTTTTTAATTAATTAGTAAAATACCATGTGCTGTCGTCAGGGCAAAGACAATTTAAATGAGTTATTATGAACTAGTTATTCAAATTATTGTTTAGAAATTAGTTGATTTTTTTAGTTAAGGAGCACCTAGCAGATATTTTTAAGTAATTAAAATTTAATAGGAGGGCTAACAGTTTTTACTTTAAGTGTGTGTGTGTGTGTGTGCGTGCGTGCGTGCGTTGGTGTCTATTAATAAAACAATATTAATACATATAAATACCAAAATAACACTTATTTTATTTATTACAAATTGGTTATTTTAAAAATGAACAATATAGAATACTTTTGACATTTGAAAATGTTTTAGTTGTACATAATTCTATTTTCCATAGTAATTTTTTACTCTTGCTATATTATAAATATTTTTCTTTTGTACTCTAGGAAATAATATAGATAAAACAAAATGGTTTAAGAATTCACATGTTAGTATCCATTTTTAATTTAAAATATTTCAATTCTGTTTTTTGAAATGTGGAAAAAGCAGCGACTGAGTTCAAACATTTGACTGATAGTGTTTTAATACAAATGAGTGATTACAAATAGGATTTACACACACACACTTACTAAAATCAAATCAACTCAATAAATTAACACCGTTACATTAAGAGGTCAATAGCTTGGTCACGATCTAGTGTAGCTTTTTAATAAAGCGTTTGATTAAAAAGTATGTGCTAACATGGTTTTAGCAGAACTAAACGTGTTTACAAAGTGTCAAAAAGAAAATCAATCCTGTAAAGGATCTGCTTTTGTGCTGTCAACAAAAAAGAAACAACTTCCAGACTGGTTTATCTGGTTGTGTGTAAGTGATACTTGATTTTACTTGACAAACACAAAGCCTCTGAGTCTCTAGTGGACCTTTAACCTAAAAAGTTTACAGTCTGATCTTTAAAATAGCTTCCTTCCATCATTCGTGATTGGGACTTGTGGAATAACCTGTTTATGAGCAGCTCTGGCCAGAATTAACACCTGAACTGTGAATGTTACACAAGACACAGAGGCTTATGGGTATCATTTACTGTATATACATATTTCATTGTCCACACTGCACTAATGTAATGTAAGAATCTTTTGCACGGAATTAGCTATTTATGAATGTAAAATGTTTTTTCTTAATTGTCAGAATGGTTTTATTAACACTGAATAATGCAATTGTGAATGATGATTCAAACTATAAATCATTTTGTTATATTGATCAATTATTGTTTATGTTTTATAATCTCTCTGAGAAATTTCTATGCAGTAAAATAATTGACTGAGATGTGATATGAATGTGATATGAAGGGGAGTCGTTTCTATTATTTCTGTTTGCATTTAAAGGAGCAATCTTCATCTAAAGCAGAGATGCCCAAACTAGGGCTCGCTAGTTGGCCCATTGTAACTGATTTGGCCCACCATTCCATTGGCCCACCATTCTACTCCGAGAAAGGTGTATGAATGATGGGCAGGGTTGGGGCGAATGATTTTAACAGAGATTGACATTTCTAGTTTAAAATAATATTTTTGTTTGTTTGTTTTATTGTTGAGCTACAAAAAAACCCAACTTAAATGTTTCATTAAAATGTACATGTTAAATACTTAAATAAATACTGTGCAAAAATGTAAATACTGTCACTTGACAGATAGAGGACAATGCAGAAGACATCTGCGAGCAAATTAAGGCAAAATCAGGTGCAGCTTGACTAGCGTAACTTCATTCTGTTATAAATAAGATTGTTTTACCTGTAATAAGTTCATTAAAATGTAAACTGCATTAGTTAAGTATAAAGCAATGTTTTCTAGTTATTTTTAAATATTATTAAGTAAATAAGGAAGTACCCATGCCACCTATATTTACCTTTGCCCCATTAGCCTCAATCTAGTTTTGCTTTTGGCCCTTCATAAGAAAACCTTTGGCCACCCCTGATCTAAAGTATTAAAAAGAAAGAGATTTGCATAAAATTGCCACCAGATGGCAGTATGATCACGCTTTTTGTTCTGTACTTCAACTCAATTTTGTTCTCAATGTCCTAATACTGTAATATATTTATAATGGTTTTAGTTATTTGTAATAGTCGTTATCATTTTTAAAATCAAAATAGTTACAAAAATAAAACAATAAACAGCAAAAAAAAAAAAAAATTCTTATGGTTTGGCCACATTTTACATTTTTAAAACAGTATTTTTTCTAACAACAATTGTATTGTTTTTTATATATTATATTATATTATATTATATTATATTATATTATATTATATTATATTATATTATATTATATTATATTATATTATATTATATCATTCACTTGTTTATTTGAATAGACAAAATGTTGCAATGCAATGTATTTCCTCAGGGGTTTCTTAGCCTAAACCTGCGTAATTTATTTATTTTATCTGTTTAATCTATTTATATAATTTTTTAAAAATCAAAATAGTTACAAAAATACAATACAAAACAGCAAAAATATATAAAAAAATTGTCATGGTTTGACAACATTTAATATTTTTATAACATTATTATTTTATAACAACAAAAATTTATTATATTATATTATATTATATTATATTATATTATATTATATTATATTATATTATATTATTCGCTTGTTTATATGAATATACAAAATGTTGCAATGCAATGTATTTCCTTTGGGATTTCTTAGCCTAAACCTGCATTATTTATTTCTTTATTTAATCTGTTTATTTTATTTAATCTATTAATTTGTTATATGTTTTTGCATTTGTCTTTGCAATCCTTTCCATTTGTTTTATTTTTTATTCTTTATTGCCTAACAACAACAATAGCAGGCAAAAGTACAAAGAGAAATAAAGTACGCTGAAAAAAAATATTCAAAGATGATTTCTTGAAGTTACTACCAAAAAATGTAAGGTAAGTGGTTGTAAACAATTTATTTGAGCTGAATTTAAACAAACATATTAAGTTGAACATTACTCAATATAATTTGTTTAAATTCAACCCAAATAAATAGTTTGCAACAATTATGCTGAAATACTATTTTTCTGTCTACTTATGTTTTTTTTTTTTTAATTATTTTTATTTACTTTAACATCAAAGGAACAAACAAATAGAAACGAGAATACAAAAAAAACACATGATGGAATAATAAAATTACAATAATTTCACATAAGAAAATATTTACAAAATTGCTACATCCTTAAAGCTTTTTAATTTTTAAGATCCTTCAGGTTTTCAAAATAATGCTTAAACAAACAAAAAAAATGTTAGGTTCATCATTGGATAGTTTTGTTTGTGTACATGTTATTTCCTCTACTACATAATCATTGAAGTAATAAAGTTTGGCTCTAAAGTCGTATCATTATAAAAATCGAAACAAATCTTTACAAAAAAAAAAGTTTTTTTATTTTGTAAGTTTAAATATTAGATATTCAACATCAACATTTAAATAAATGTGGATTAAAAACAGGTGTTTTACGGGTTCTTTCTCTAATTCACAAAATGTTTGTTAAATCTCAACGCTCACCAATCGTTGGCTGAATGGTTCTAGTGATAACAGCGAGCAACAATGTGATTGGCTTAGCTCACCACAGCCCCTGTTGCGGAAGTCATCAAAACGTGTTTATTGGTTACTCGCAGTGTCAGTTTTCAGAGGGCTCGTCCACTATTGGGTGGATCTTAAAAAAAGGGGGCAGGGTTCCGGTCGAAGTTTTGCTGCATATCGGAAACAATAAGTGGGAGTGCAGACCAGTGGAATACCAATAGATGGGATGAAAACACCACTGTAAAGTAAGACAACTGGTAAACTAAATTCATCTTTATTTCTTCGTTCAGCAGCTATTCAGTCGCAGTCGTGCCTTCAAGTTATTTATGTGTGTTAAATACCGCGTTATAAGCATAGACTGTAATATAAGCTTATCTGGAAGTTCTGTTGTGCAGTTTGGAGCAGCACGCACATGGCCCGAGTTTGCTTGACAAGTTAAATTGGCTTGTCAGGTTACTGTGCCATATGTTTGCTTAGTGAAACCATCTTTTTTAGGCTGTGACGGGAGATTTTAAGCGATGCAGGTCACCTTGGCCACGGTGGGCATGAGAGGGTGCCAGTGGTCCTGATGCTGTGAAGGAGCCACTGTTATGTAACATGAATCATCATGACAGAGTATGATGGCGCCTTTATTCTTTTATTTAATTTGTCATTAGGATTGTTGGTACACTGTGACGACTGTTATTATATTTTTATACGTGTTTATACTTTTAAAAACTTTTATTGTTGTAATTTTCTTTCTTTCTGTAAATAATGTCAAGCTAATATGTTTTGTTTTATTCTGCACATATCTTACGGCCCATTTTTGTTGACACTGTTTGGTGATTTACAGATTGAGGTGAAGTTGGTTTTATATTCACACATTTGTTCATTTTAACAGTCCCTATATTGTTTGCTATGCTAATTTGAAAATTCACTCTAAAATTGCCTGTAAGCATGACTTTAAAACAACATTAGCACTATTTAATTGACTGTGAACATTTTTGTACTTAGATAGTCATTGGCCGATATTCTAATTCCCCTATTAAGAATTTGCTAATAATACTTTTCTGAAATTATATCATTAAAGGGTCACCACCAAAACACATTTTTTTAGATGTTGACAGTCATATACATGTTCCATGTTGCTAAAAACACTATTATGACACATATATTTCTCAAAAAAGTGAAAATTGTTTAGAGTAAATTCGTTCTTCTGGTTTAAAAAGAAATTTCGAAGCAAGGTCCCGACGATGTGATCATTGTGTAAATTCCAGCGTGGAGATTGAATGTCTGTACCTGCCGGTACAAAGTGACATCACTGAGTTTTCAGCACATCCGTTCATTAATACATGAGAAAGACTTGGTTTGAATCAATCAGCGCACTCTATTGAATTTGTGAACGAGATGCAACTTCGTTAATGCATGATATAGCTTTGAAGACTCTTTTTACCTGTTACAGTGGTCAGAGAGACACCACGTTGTGTTGCCAACCATAATTTTTTTTTTTTAAACAAAACCATCATTGATCATTGTGATCAATGTTTTGTTTATGTTTATTCAGAGGCAAAGTTAGTTAGTATCGTCAGCAGTACTCTTTAAAAAAAAAAACTTTCAGTTTTTAAAGACATACCTTAGTTAAAGTGTAGTCACCAAGTTTACAGTAATGTCTCTACAATATAATGGACTGAAAATCTTCCACTTCCACATAGCTCTCAGATCCGCTGTAAATGCTGCTCTCTGTATCACTGTCCATCTCCCCTGCTTCTAGGCATGGGACGATAACCATGTTCAAGGTATACCGTGGTTGGGAAATTTCAAGGTTTTAAAATCATCAAAATTTTTTGCTATACCGTTCCTAAGGTATGTGTAAGATTTTTTTTTATTTGCTTTTTTTTTTTTTTGCCACGGTGAAAATCAGCTGTAGCGCACTTAATGAAACTCAAAGCTGGACTCACCCACTTATCAGAGTTTTTTAAACTAGAGGTGTATTTCATTTTCATATCCCTTTAAGGAGAATGTCTGAATGTGCGTATACAAAACCAACTTTACCTCAGAGTTTTACAGCATTAATATGCAAGTACAATTGTGTATGAATGTGGTAAAAAAAGGTATTTTAAAGACTTGTGATATTGTTATCAGACATTTCACCAACTACAAAGTTAGTCTGGTTTAATTTATTTTTCTATTTAAAACTTTTAATGTCCAGTTTTGTACTTTTTTTTTGCATTAATGGTTTGTTAATTCAACTTATGCTTAATTCTACTTTAATTATTATTTTGGTTTGTGAAAGGACACTGTAAACAAATTCCAGTTGCCTTATTTTTAAGTTAAATCAAATTTACCTTATGAGTCCATTGAACTTATATGATGTTAAACTGACAGCTTGCAGAACTTATAAAATAACTTACAACATAATGTAGTTTAAGTTGCAACAAACTAAAAACAAATGTTGGCAGGACTTATTGGTCATCAAATTTTTTACAGTGTATTGATATTTTTAAAATAATAACAATAATATATTTGTTGCAAGCATACACATTTTAATACGTTTTAAATAGTTGTTTTTAGCTTGTGTTAAATTGTAACTCTCTTCCCTTTAAAGCAAATATGAAAATAATGCAAAACTCACATAGCCATCGATCAGATATTTTATTGTAGAAAGAAGTTTTTAAAAATGTTGCTACATCAATTATATAACAAATAGCCATTATTAATGAACATATTATTCAGTTGTAATGGGTTCATTCAGAAATAAATATCTATGCTGCTATCTTTTTACATTCATAAATAACTAAATTCCAGGTTCTGCTGTGGGTCTCTTGAGATGTATTTTATGATGCATAACCCTTATTGATCCATCTTCCTCTCACATCAGCATTTTTTGCAGATGGATTGAAGAAAGTCTGAATAGATTTCAACACACAGGTTATAAGTACACAGTTTATGAATGACAAGCTGGCTGCTTCACATTATGCGTGTTCAGTGACAAAACAAAGTGGAGCAAACAGAACATCATTTCACATTTGAGAATTAACATGCTTAAATTAATACAAACTAGTCAGATTTCTTTAGTGTGTCTTTTTTTCCATCACACTTTCTACAGATTTAACTTGCAGCTCAGGTTTCACGGAATGTTCTGGGTTCAACACCAGTTCAGATTAATCAGAAGCAAAAATGTACAGATTGCAAATTTGATAAGACCTTTATAATAATTGCTCTGAATAATAAAAATGTTATTTGAGTTTTAAATCATGTTTTTAGTGAGCTGGGCTTGTAAAAATAAAGATTTTTATAGATGATTTAAATAGAAATGCTATATTAGAACCATACAGAACATTTGCTGTTGTGGTTTGTGTTCGTGCAGGTAATGAGGTATGAGGAAATTTAGTTTGCTATTAATAAGCCTGTGCTGAACCCCAATATCTATTTATGCAACAAAAATACAATAAAAAAGTAAATTATAAGTGATGTACGGTAAATAAGAGAAATACAATAAGGATTTGGGCTGGTGGCGCATTACTATGTTGTTGAGTAAATATAAAGCTATTGTTATTATTATTATTATTATTCCTACTATTGTTGTTATTATTATTGTCTGTGTGTGTGTAAGTGCAAACAACATGGCACACACATTGGGCCTTAAAGAATGTGTGTCTTTGTGTGTGTGTGTGTGAAATTGAATTAACACTGAAATATTTGATTACCGAAAGACACAAAGATGTATATAAATGTTGTTTTGGAAACTAACTGACAGGTAAATTAGTACGCAAATGTCATTAAAAACTAGTAATAGCCAATAGTAGTTGTAAAACTGATTCAAAATGCTATGCTTTACAATAAAATATAATATTTAATAAATAAAAAATAAAGCTTTTATTAAAAATATAAGAATAGGAAAACAGTTAATTTATATATGTAATAACTGAAATACAGATATAAATTCACATGCATGCATCACTCAAAGGCAAGGGAGTGGGAGGATTTAATGATGGAGAAATCCTGATGTTCAGAGGGAGACTGTTCCAGAGCCTTGAGGCTGCAACGGAAAGCTCGATTACCTTCTGATATGCAGGGTAAATCACTAAATTACCCTGGTTGACAAGTTTAAGTTTTCATGTTGTATTTTACATTACTTTGTTGATGGGTCAACAGAATTTGCACGTTGCAGCATGTTTTTTTTTTTTTTTTTAGATATTGTAAATATTGTTGTTTCAAACATTATTATTATTTTGCTAAAACAAAAAGTAAAAAAAAAACACAAATACTGTATAATAAATGCATTTCTACTAAAACTACATACTAAATAATGTTTCTACAATAGTTAGTAATTTTTAAATTGTTTAAAAATATTTAAATTAACTATCAAATTCTTATAAAAGCTTACAAAATTTTTTTTTTTGGTGTGGGAGTCAGTTAAACTATTGGCAAGTAAAACAGTGGAACTGCTTGCAAGTAAATTTTTGTCATTAAACTTGGATTGTCTAAACCTAATTCAATTCTTGTTTATTTTTATAGCGCTTTTACGATGTAGATTGTGTCAAAGCAGCAGCTTAACATAGTTAAGAAGTTCTATTAAATTTTAACTGTGTCAGTCCAATTTTTAGAGTTGAAGTTCAGTTCAGTGGGGTTTAATTTGCACTGCTGAAAGTCATAACACTAAAGAGCAAATTTATTGATGCCCAGAATGTAAATGACTAATTCTTTGCTCTTTATTTTCCTACTTTTAGTTAGTGGTGCCTTTAACCTGACATGGAACAAGTCTGGATTCGTTTGGACAGGAAATAAAGCAGGTAACTGACTCACATTGCACCTACTCATAAACACCTCTGGGTATTTTCACTCTCACAGCTGCTCGTGTTTATTTTCTGCAAACACAATTCCCAAAACCCTGCTGTTCCCTGCACCTCTCAGAAACTGAGACGTCTCTTAAAATCATCCAGATGTAAGTTATGCCATGTAACAGTAAAATATATTTGTGTATGGTGTATCACATTTTTACCTTCAATAGAGACATAAAAAAAGGGATGACACGATGGCTCAGTGGTTAGTACTGTCACTTCACAGCAAAAAGGTCACTGGTTGGCTGGGCCAGTTGGCATTTCCATGTGGAGTTTGCATGTTTTCCCCATGTTCGCATGGGTTTCCTCCGGGTGCTCCGGTTTCCCCCACAGTCCAAAGACATGCGGAATAAACTGAATTGACTGTAGTGGATGAGTGTGAAAGAGTGTGTATGGATGATCCCAGTACTGGATTACAGCTGGTAGGGCATCCACTGTGTACAACATATGCTAGATAAGTTAGCAATTCATTCTGGTATGGCGGCCGCTGATGAGTACAGGGACTAAACTGAAGGAAAAACTATTACTATAGTAGTAAAAATTATATTTCTAAAAATATAGTTCTAAAATCTATTTTTCTATTATCAATGAAGATACAGTAGAGTGGATTCAAATGCATAGAATGCGATTATCCTGCCGCATCTCATGAGGAAACATAACTCTTTTACGTTATGTCTGGGTAATTATACAAATTTGTGTCAAGTTCAGTCATATGAAAATGTACGATTTTAAAAAGGGGGTATGGCACCCAACCTCACCCCTAAACCCAACCGTCATTGGGGGATAAGCAAATCACACTAAATTGTACAAAATCATATTAATTAGCCACTAAATCAAAAAGTTACAAATTTCCATAGGATTGTGATTACCAATACCAATCTTACTAATCAATCCTTTACTTCCCCATAAATTCTGTTTTTTTATTTTTTCATTTGAATTTTTTTTCTGGACCCAATTTTGTTATTTAATTTAGTTTTTAAATGTCTGTTTGATTTAAATCATGCAATATATTTAATTTAACAGCAATTGATAATGAATTTAACAAAATTACACTTTTAGAAAAATATTATGAAAGTGCTTAAATGCAATTTAACTTAAAACTGAAATTAAATCTGACTTAAAAAAGAAAAATTAATGAATAAAGACGTTTTGGTTTTTTAGGTATGAGCAATTCCAGTGTTATGGATGTGACGTTTGCAGTAAAAATTTTAAACATAAATTCACAGAGAAAGTCTATGTTAACATTATATTGGAACATCTGTTTATATATCCCAAAACATCTAACCACACAGTTATGGAGTCAGAAAAATATCTCTGAACATTTTTTATATTTTAAATGAGGAAAATAAACATACGTTGTGGATGTGACAAAGTATGCGAGTTTACAGTACTTTGTGGAAATTCTCTGAATTAAACTGCACAACCCAAAAAAGTAATGCTAAGCAAAAGAAAAAAAGTTGGCCCACTGTAGAAAAAAATTATTGATTTTATTTTATTTGACATTTTTGCATTTATGAGAATGTGACAGATGTGAAATTGCCACTTTGTTAAATCAAAAATAATTGTTTAAAACATTGACAAAGAAATTTTGAGTATTTTTAAAGTACTGTAAAATGCAAACCTACAACAAAAACATAGAAACGGTTTGGCTATTTTGGTGAAACCTTTTTTTTATGACATTTGCATGAAATTGCTCATGTACATGCAATAAAGATGGCCTTTTACAGATTAGTAGTGAAATAAAGTTTGGCAAGACAGCAGATGATCACAACAGCATGAGTGTCACACATGTCAGCATGCACCATGTAATTCAAACTGCACAAGTCATGTACACAAACATGCAGACTTTATATGTAAAAAGTATCTTGCAGTTTAATATTTACAAACAGGCAGTATTTTTTATTTATTAATCAAAAATATTATATTTGTCAGGATTATGTAATTCTGTGTGTGGATATCATGCACCCCAAAAATATGCAGCCTTTTGATCAGAACATATCTTGAAAATTAAAATAAAACTTGTTGATGGTGTTGTTTCAACAATTGTACTGTCTTCCTGTCAAGAACAGAAAAATGAGAAATAAATCATTTAAATATACTAATTTTAACTGTCATAAATTTACTGGAAATTTAAAATCAAGGAAATTTCTGTAATTTAACAGCTGCTATTTTTTTGTACATTTCTGTAATTTAACTCATGTTATGTTATAACTATTGTTGTTTTACTTTTCTTTTCTGGCACCTCAGCTGCTGGAAGAAAACCCCAGTGAAATATTAAATAATTATTTTATTTATTTATTTATTTTTTAATTGTGCCCTTTAATCTTGAATTTGTGCCACCTTTTTGTTTTCATTGTCATTTTAGGTTCAGTTTTAGCATAGTATAGCAAGTAAAATAATAAAAAGAAGTTTCACAACTCGTTTTGCTTCTGTAATGAAATGCATCTTGGAGAGAAAAAAAATGTCATGTCAGGCTGTGCAACTGAATGTTAGATGGAATTGTGTGCCACTGGGTGAGAACCAAACTTTAAGTCTATGCACACCTGGTATGGATTAGCCAGCTGCCACTTTACAACCAGTAAGATGCTCTGACCCAGTGGCTTTATCTTTTGGATGAAATGTGTAGTAGTCATTGTTGCCTTATCAGTGCCACAGTTGTTTAGCTTTGTAAACGTAAAAACCACTCTCCAATTGCCCACCACTGAAGCTGATCAAAATACTAGAAAGCCTTCGGGGAGGGACGACTCGAACCAGAGGGAAAGATGTTTTGCATTCTGACCGAGATAAAAGCGAACTGACTGACCATGAAAGGCAAAATTAAAAAAAAAAAACAGTCTGCCAACACTATTATAATTCAAACATTTGAGTTAAACTGAGGTTTAAAAGATGGTCGAAAAAGCTGGACATGTTGAGATGTGGTGCTTTTGCGGTGGGCTCATTAATTTAATGGTGCTTTATTTTAATATACCTGTGATTTTCAGTTTAGTTTGCACCAATTCTGGGATTTAGGTACCATGAAGGTTGCTCCATAATTCCCTGGCATCAAAGAGTGATTAAAGTCAAATTGGCTTCATTCATTCATTTTTCATCTGCTTAGTTCCTTAATTTCCAAGAGTTGCCCGTCTAAATAAACCATTAACTATTCCAGCGTATGTTTTACTCAGCGGATTCCTTTCCAGCCATAACCCAGAACTGGGAAACACCCATGCACTCTCGCATTTACACACTACGGCCAATTTCGTTCATCCAATTCACCCAAAGTGCATGTCTTTGGACTGTGGAGAAAACTGGTGCACCCGAGGAAACCCATGATGCGAACACGAGGAGAACATGCCAACACAGAAATACCAACTGTTCCAGCCGGGACTCGAACCAGAGACCTTCTTGCTGTGAGGTGACAGTGCTAACCACCGTGCCGCTATAGGTGCCTTCTTGTTACCCAAAACCCAAGAAAAAAACCAAGTGCAAATTAAACTGAAACTAGCCAGCTAATCCATCTACATGGTACAGGCCACTGGTTTCAATCCTATCCTAATCCCATTTTTCACCCTACAATGTGGGTAAAACCATAAATTACGTTTGCGCAGACTTAAATTGAACTTGCTGCTTGGGACGTAATGACGCATATCGGAAAGACTATTATCTGTTCAGGGGTTAGCAGTAATCTTTAAAGTGATGTACGATTAGTGATGTCAGCAGGTGCACTGCAGTGTTCCCAGCAGTGAAGTATCAGTTTCCCATAAAGATCAATAAATCATATGCATTTAGTCTAAGTGTGCAGCTGTGTCGATGCCATCATCCGCGATTAGTGTGAGTGTGTTCAAACGTATAGTCAGGATTTCAGAGTGCATGTTTTAAAATAATTTTTTAAGTTCTAAAGGACTCTTACATATTCAAAAGCATAGATGAATATTATAGATCTAGATGTAAGAATAGATTGAGAGAGTAAAACGAAGATATTCTTTTTTAAAATACAAAAATGCAGTAAAAATTGTAATATTCAGAGTTGTTAATGCATGTTGATTCTAAGGAATATATACACTGATGTTCATTTATTTATGAATGAAGTTTCTTGTACTGAATAAGTTTGCATTTTATTTAATATAAAATAGTGTAAGGGTAATATTTATAAACATTGTTACAATTTGCATACAACTGTTTTTAATTTGATTATGTTTTGCAGAAGATTATATTTGTAAATATAAAGTTAACATTGTACATTTCTTTTGTATTTTGATCAGCTTTACTCCTAAATAAAATAATAATAATAATAATAATTATTATTATTTATTCATTCATTTGTCTTCGACTTAGTCCCTTTATTCATCAGGGTTCACATATGTTTTACACAGCGGATGCTCTTCTAACCACAACCCCATACTGGGAAACACCCATACACTCACATTTACTCATTCACCTATACTGCACCTATTCTGTCTTTGGACTGGGGGAACACTCAAGCACCCAGAGGAAACCCACACAAACATAGGGAGAAAATGCAAACTTCACACAGAAATGCCAACTGGCCCAGGCCGAACTCGAACCAGCGAACTTCTTGCTGTGAGGCAACAGTAAAACCGCTGAGCCAACATGGCATCCTATTATTATTATTATTATTATTTATAGAAGTCTTGTAATTTATTTTCGGAGTCTTATGAATGGCGCATCATGGTATCCACAAAATTAAGCAGCAAATGCAGTGTATGGAGTTTTATGTGTTAATAATATAAAGACATGTTTGTCGATTCAGCATATTGGAATGATTTCTGAAGTAATTATGCAGACAATTCTGCTTTAAATCATTGGAACAAATACTGAATTTTAAAATCCTTAAGTGTAAAACAGACGTTAATCTTTGTTTATAAAAATATATATTCCTTGTTAGTCCATAGTCCCAGTCCATCAACTTTATTTAATGCATTAGTAGAGGTTAAACTATCATGAATAAATGCTATACATGTTTGTTTCTATATAGTTCATCTTAGTTAATACATTTACATTAACTTATGTAACTTTATTGTAAAGTGTAATCTATACACCCTTGCTGAGCTTTTTTTCTTATTATTTATGAGTGTGTGTGTTTGTGTGTTTGTTTGTGTGTGTGTGTGTGTATGTATGTGTATGCATGCCCACATAAGCACAAAGTCTCAAACTGTGCATCTGAACATCTTGCAGTACATCTTCCCTCATGTTTGTTGTTGCTCTTTGCACATTTCACACACTACAACAAAACTCCCACTCATTTTTTAACTATTACAATACAGAAATGTTTGATGAAGCGAAAAAGGGATATAAGAGAAAAACAAACAAGATTTTTTCACTGCAGTGCTGAGAAGCAAAGATGTAAACCCAATGCACTTGTCAGTCATGTTTTCCCCATTGTGACATCATTCATCACCATGGCAATAGGCTTCAGCAGCACTGTTTTGCTCAGATGGGCTGATGAGAAGTGTGTGTGTGTGTGTGTGTGTGTGTGTTTCTGTTTCTGTGACTCACTTGGTACATGAATAAGCTGTTATCTGCTCCTCTCTTTATCTCAAACTCTGTGGAGAGAAATGCACTACTGAAAACACCTGACACTTCTTCTATCACAGCCAATCCTCTTGTCCTCCAAGGGTTTTATTTTCCGCTAAGTCTGTTTTAAGGGATATTGATCTTTATGACTTTTATTCCACAAAATGGAAGTTTAAGAATCTCTGTGTAGCTATTTGTCTGAGTTTATACAAGAGACATAACATCAAATCATCAAGAGCCAGTGAGAAGTATTTCTGCATCATTGAAATTATTTAACATTCACAAATACAGAATTATTAGAACGTTTTTTAAAGGTGCAGTATGTAAGTTTGACACCCAGTGGTTTAAAACAAAAATCAAAGCAAACAAAAGGGCAGGTTTCCAGATTGAGGACAGGAGTGAGTGATTCAAACCGTGTTTTAAATAATTGTAACTGCACGCGATAGATGAATATTCTTCATATTAAAATAAGTTTTTGTCCTAACCAACACCTTGGGGTCTATTTTGACGGTTGACGGTCCATGCGCAAAGCGGAAAGCACAGGGCGCAAACGCATTCAGGGTGTGTCAGAATCCACTTTTGCTATTTTAAGGACGGGAAAATCTGCTTTGCGCCGTGGCGCATGGTCTAAAAAGGTTGAGTTTATTTTCTTAATGAGTTATAAGTGTGTTTTGAGAATAAACCAATTAGAGTCTCATCTCCCATTTCCTTTCAGAGCCAGTTTTGTCGCGCCATAAGCACAATAGCTATTTACTTGACGTAAAGTAAGTGGAAGTGGAAAACCTGAGCATTTCACTAGCAAGAAAACAGTTAAACTAATACACAGTTAAAATAATATGTTTGGTAATATCCTAATCTTAATCCTTTATATTTATATTCTATATATATCCTTATTATATCCTATATATCCTTAATATTTAAATTCTTTTTTATATATAAAAAAAGATATTTGCGATATTGGCTTTGTTCTGGTCTGTTGAACATTCTATCATAGTTTCTCAAAATAGCAACGAGCCAGCAATGTGCCTCAACACGCCTCTTTTTTTAGACTAGAATGCCTATGGGCGCACATATTAGCGCGAATGCATTTACTATTTAAACAGCGTGGCGCAAAACGTCAAAACGACTCTTGCGCCAACCTGAAACTAGCAAACAACAATTGCGTTGCGTCTTGTGCCACATTGCGCTGGGTGTATGATAGGGCAATTAATGGAGATTTACCAAATAAATGATCTGAACATGCAGCTTTGTTGATGCTTGGAGCTTCTCAGTAAATGACTGTAGTTGGATTAATGTACTTTTCTTGTTATTCAAAGCAATGTAAAATGATCTGACATGAGCTTTTCATGGAAATACAGTGAAAAAGTGAAATGTGTTAATGATAAGATTACGGTGTCTCAGGTCTTTCACTGAAGTGAGTTGCGTGTTAAACATTCCTTAATGCTTTCTGGGTGTTATACAGAGATGCAGTCAGTGAAAATTTTCAAGTTGCAGGTGTTTTAAACATTACTTTCTTTGAGCATTCAAATGTTTTAGATGTCGCAGACATTCTATATTGCAAACATTCTAGATCCCACAGATATTCTAACATTCTTTAGTTTGAACATTCAAACTTTTGATGTTGCAGTAATGCTAAACTTTTCTTGTTTCGTGTTTAAACATTGTATATCTTGCAAATGTTCTCTTTTTAACCATTCTCATATTCTAGTTGTTTCAGACATCCTTGTGGTTTTTAAACATTTGCTTGCTTGAGTCATTAAGAACATTCTAAAATTGGCTTTTTTCCTAACAAATAGAACATTCTAGATGTTGCAGACATTTTAAAAACTATTTCTAAATATTAAGACATTCTAGATATTGCTAACTTTTGCAGACAAACTCTTGTTTGATCATTCAAATATTCTTTATCCAAAGTTATTTAAACTTTTTACATGTTGCAGATGTTCTAAAATTCTATTTTTTTAAGTTTTTAAGTTAATTTGCAATAAGACTAAAATATAGTATAAAAAATACAGCTTATGGGTTGAAATTTCGGTTAGGTTTCCTGTTATTCAATACATTAATGTAATGACCTTTGACCTTTTCAGAGGTTAATTTTACATATAAAATTAGCAGGATTTCTTTAGCTTGTGTGGGAACTCATTAAACCACTCTGAGAGTAGTGTAATCCATATGTTACGGCTTAACAGTTGGAATACTGTTTCCGGGTCCAAGCCACTCCTCATTTGAATTGACACCTTTTAGTCATATCACACATTAAAGTGAACTGTATATAAAATCATGGTGTACACAACAGTCTCTGGACTTACTGCATTGCAGACGCCAGCAGTTTAACAGTTTATACAATATTAGTCACTTTCTGGCCATCGAATATTAGGCATGGATGGACATAGCATAACGTTTTGAGCATAATCTGCATACATATATATATATATATATATATATATATATATATATATATATATATATATATTTTTTTTTTTTTTTTTTTTTTTTTTTCTTCTACGATGAGCTTTTTTATCAGCCTCATATATTTACATTCAGTTATTTCGTATTAAAAGTGATTAAAATGTAACCTATTCTTCGTCATAAAAGTGAAATTAATAAATGAAGATATAGGAGCCTGAGAAAATATTATTATTAGAAGAAAATTTCAGATGGCACTTGCTCTTCATATATTTATTTATATTGTGATCATGATTTTTGTAAGTATTACATCGCTTTGTAAACGTTTATTATTACCATTTGTTGAGTCTTCCCATACAATTTGATAGACCCGGAAGCCGCTTCGCATGATGACACACTTAACAAGCAGATACCAAATTGACAGAGCTTCAAATTTTTCTTTCACTGCTTAAAAATAAATTAATAAATAAAATACATAATTTATCACAGAATAAGGAAATATGCAGATAGTATTTTAGGTTATCTAGCATTGGAAATTGACAGTTGGAAAGAATGAAGTCTATTAGCAGATGTGTCCATGACTGAATTGATGACTCAGTGTTGGGATGACGGCATGTGTTTGTGTGTCAGAGACCTTGTCAGAGGTGCTGCTTGTGTGTGTTTGTCTTTCTCTATGTGTTAGTGTTATTACATGTTACCATGGCGATGGTGTTTGTCATCTGCTTAAAATGCTTGCAGCAGATTTTGTTACCATTTGTTTTATTTTGCAGATCAACACACATTACTCGCAGTCAAATTCCACTTTTCCTTGCTATGTGTCTCAAAGTCATGTTCATAATATTGTGCATTTGTTTCTGGAAAATATCCAGCTAATTCTAAGCAAAGGTTTGGATAATGCTTATTGACTGGTGTAATTTTAATCGTGTTCAACTTTTGTTTCTTTTAGATCAGTTTTTTCACTATGGAGGCCATGGATGAGGAGTCAAAGCCCATTGTCCCCACCCCTGCTGTTTCCACAGCCTCTGCCTCCAGCCCACAAAGTGAAGCTGTAACCAATGAACTGCAAGATTTGTCTCTTCAGCCCGCCCCCAATTTGCCTCCTATTTACGAGAGGAAGAATGGTGAGCTTAATGCAAAGATTTTTGTCTAATGGTTAAAACGTATATAATTTTTAGTTGCATGTTATTTGATTCTTAACTAAACCTTAAGTTGTAGTCATTTTTTGAATCAACCAAACTGCAGTGTTTGTAAGCCCCACTCTCTCAAAGCTTGAATAAAGCTTTGACAAATAGTGTAGACAAATAGTAGTAAAGGCTGAATTGTTTCTAAGTGCAAGGTATTACACACACACAAACAAAAACATCTTAACTGTGGTACAATTACTAAAACATACTCTAATGTGGATAATGTATAGGGCTCTATTTTAACAATCTAGGTGCAAAGCAGACGTGTCCGAATCTACTTTCCTATTTCAAGGACAGAAAAAATATGGTTTGCGCCCGGCGCATGGTGTAACAGGGTTGTGCTTATTCTCTTAATGAGTTATGGGTGTGTTTTGAGCATGACATGCATTACACTAATCAGAGACTCATCTCACATTCCCTTTAGGAGTCAATTGTGTCGCGCTATAGCACATTTGCTATTTACATGGTAGACTTTGTAAGTGGGAAACGTTAAAGTTTTACTAATGAGAAAAGGTTTAACAGAGCATCTGCAGCGGAACGAGCCTCCTCCATTCAGCCTCTTTACTTTCTCTTTACTTTACTCGTACTCTCTACTTTACTTCTTTACTTTCGAGGATAAGGAAATTATGTTTACGCACTCCTCTGAAGACATCCATCAGTCTACATATTTAATAACAATTTAACAATTTAATAATAATAACGAAGTATGGTCAAAACCTTCCCCCCACTCGACATTAACATTGCATGGAGGTAGTGGCTTTTATATTTATGTAAAAAATAATCAGTTTTGTAACATTTTAATCCATCATCAGGTATTCCATCCTGTACCATCATTGTACATCCTGTGTGTATTAAGCAATGTGTAAGCAATTGGACCTGTATAGGGGCATAAGTAACATGCTCTGCACTGGACTTTAGAGCAGCTTTTAGTTGGTCGATGGTGCAGTCTATTTCAGTTTCGCAAAATAACAACACACCAACAATGCACCTGAACACACCTCCTTTATAGACCAACACATCGATAAGTCCACAAAGAGGCGCAAATGGGTTTGATATTTAAAAAACGTGGTGCAAAACGAGAAAATTAGGGTTGCGCTGGTCTAAAAATGGCAACAAAATGTAAATGACAGGGCCCATAGTATTATAATAATTTTAGTGTGTGTGCAGATTGCAACAAAACCTATAAGACTATGACTCTGACTTCCTGGATTTATTGAGAAAGCATGTGAGCTTATTATTAATTAAGGGAAAATGATCAATTCAAATTATTCTCTTGAATAACTAATTGTGTGTAGATATCTATAGTCTATAGCAGTGGTGTCCAAACTCGGTCCTAGAGGGCCAGTGTCCTGCATATTTTAGTTCCAACCCCAATTAAACACACCTGAACCAGATATTCAAGCTCTTTCTATATACTAGACTTCTAGGCAGGTGTGTTGGAGGAAGTTGGAGCTAAACTATGCAGGATACTGGCCCTCCAGGACCGAGTTTAGACACCCCTGGTCTATAGTCACATATAGGTCATGATCAGATCATCATTGTAAACTGTAGTTTTAATGACCTCATATACTGAAGGGATGCTGGGTAATTAAGGAGCTTGTGCACACGTTTATATTATTACATGTTTATCATTTCTAAATGGCTGTTTTCTCAGCTCAGTGATATTTTTCGAAGTACGCTTTGAACACATACTTTCAAATTCATCTAAATGTCATTAACAAATGTTTCTCAATTCTAGATAAGTATATAACCCCTTTAACATTAGTACAATTCTTCAAAATTGAAAAGATGTATACTGTTTTATCTGCCAAACATTTTATATTCAAAATAATTTTTGACTAAATTTGAGTATTTCTTTTCTTTATATGTTAGTGGTTATCAGTGTGTTTTATTATGTTACAGTCATATGCGATATGTCTGTCTCATCTGCGCAACATCATTTAGCTTTCATGAAAGGTTTTTGGTGTAATGAGAAAAATACTAGCAAAAAGCTTAGGACAGAGATAAACCTCGGATTGCATGTTTTTTCCACCAAAAATGTAAAGTAAAGCAATTTTTTTTCATTGTTTATCAGTCACATGATTTAAAAAGGCTGCACTCAGCAACATGGTTATATAATTACATTAACCAGAGCAGAAAAAGACACCCAAAGCACTTCTTTTATTTCAGCTAATGTCAACATATGCTGATAAATAATAGAACTATATAAATTTGATCCGTTGATATTATTTAATTTACCTAAACTAACATGAAACAACAATGAACAGATGTATTTACAGTAAAAAAATGGACACTAAAATTATTAAATAAAAAATAGACAAAATAATACACTTCAAATTTACATATTCAGTTGGTTAAAGACATTAGGTTATAAGCTGATACCTGATATGTGTCATGCTAAGATTGAAGAGCTCAAGGCTGAAACGTGAAATGCTCACACACGGCTCTGTGTTCTGTCTCACTTAGCATATAATGTCCAGCCCATAACTAATAATGGTTTCTAGGGTTATATTACATTGCTTATCTAAACACCCACACTAGCATCCCACAATCTCTGAATATCTTCAAGTTAAATATCTAGCTCTACATGTTTACTGTAAGATGTCGCTCCTGCCATCTAGTGGAGCTTGTCAGCACTTCAGTCGGTTCATTTTTTAACGCTGGAAATGTATTGGATTGCCTGAAATCCCTTACACTTTATACACAGTCTGGCATGCGAGTAGTCATTTAGCAGATGCTTTTAACCAGCCTCGAGTGACCTGATTTTAAGTGCCTCATTCAGGCTAATGGATCGGCTCTAGCGAGAAGGGTCTGTAGACATGCACTCTGTTCGCTTTGCTATGCCACTTGCACTCACTGCACAGGAACTGGATACAAGTTCCTTAATGTTGTATGAGAGTTTGACAGTTCATTATACAGTATCTAAACATTTGCAGTTGATGTCAGAATTATTATCTATCCTGAATTATTAGCCCCCTATATTTTCTTCTCCAATTTCTGTTTAACAGAGAAAGTTTTGTTCAACCCATTTCCAAACATAATAGTTTTAATGACTGATTTCTAATAGCTGCTTCTTTTTTGTATCTTTGCCATGAAAGGGTATCCGTGGGATCTTAAAAAATCTTAAATCTACTGAAACATTGTGTTGTAGGTCTTAAATCTTTTTTTAAAAGGTTTTAATTTTCCTTGTTAATTTTCTTTGTTTCCGTGTTGTTAATCTCCAACAATCCATCTCAATAAAACTTTTAACTTTTTATTTAAAAAAAGAATTTAATTACTTTTCTTATAGTAAAATTTGCTTAAAAGTTCTCCATTTATTACCTGAGGATGCTGACCTGACATATGTTTTTTTTGTTATTAAATTATTATTATTGTCGACTGAAGTAATTGACAGCTATGTTTTGTTCTTTTCTTGGTAAGGGTTATCGGGTTTGTGAATGAATATATTTGAAAAAAAAAAAGGAAACCAAATGATTATTATTGTTTTATTAAATGTATTAAATTTTAATGTGTTACATTTTTGATAAAGCAAGTGAAAATCTATTTTAAACTGGCATATTTAAAAATAAATCCTTAGCATTTAACCCTGTATAAGTCAAAAATTCCATTCATAATGGTTTTAAAAATCTCCTAATGCTTTAAATTTAACGGTGAAACCATGCATGATGACAGTACAAAATATCGAAGAAATCTTTTAAGATACTAGTATTCATCTTAAAGTGCAACTCTACAAATTAGGGTAGGCAAATCATTGTATAGCAGTGGTTTGTTCTGTAGACAATTCTAAAAATATCACTTAAGGGGACTAATAATATTTACCTTAAAATAGTTATAAAATATAATAACCTGTTTTATTCTAGCCGAAATAAAACAAATAAGACTTTCACCAGAAGAAAAAACATTATCAGACATACTGTGAAATATTCTTTGCTTTGTTAAACATCATTTAGGAAATATGTTAAAAAAGAAAATCCGGGCTAATAATTTTGACTTCAACTGTACATATAAATAAAATGTATCAATAATTAGAACAGTAGAACAGTTTTAGAACAGTAAAAACTGTTAAAACTACAACATAGGCAGAAAACATGTAGCAGCATTCACTATGAAGAATATTTATTATACTGTGAACCCATAATCCTAGAAAAACTGAAACTGTAGGAAATGTGTCTCTCTCATTCAGCACCAATGCAAATGTTTGCAGGTCTTGCACATTTTGTGAGCTTGATATTTAATGAATTATATAAAGTGCCTTGAAATATAATTCCCAAGCGAACACATTTATTTATTCTATGTCAACTACATTGGCTACATGCACACAACAATGCAAAACTGCTTTAACAACGTATACGTGTGACACGAAGAGATGGATTTGAGACATTTTGACCAAATTAAATTATTTTTTTTGCCAAATTATTAATAGTACCAGGCATCACGGTGGCTCGGTGGTTAGTACTGTCACCGGTTTGGTCGTTGGATTGAGTCCCAGCTGGGCCAGTTGGCATTTCTATGTGCAGTTTGCATGTTCTCCCTGTGTTGGCGTTGGTTTCCTCCGAGTGTTCCGGTTTCCCCCACATTCCAAAGACATGCGCTATAGGTGAATTGAATAAGCTAAATTGGCCTTAGTGTATGCGTGTGTGTGAATGAGTGTGCATGCATGTTTCCCTGCACTGGGTTGCAGCTGGAAGGGCATCCGTTGTGTAAAACATATGCTGGATATGTTGGTGGTTCATTCCGCTGGTGACCCCTGATGAATAGAGACTTAGCCTAAGGAAAATGAATAAATAAATGTATTAGTTTTACCATTTCTGCATGCTGTGTTAAACTGTTTACATGACAACAATGAAGCCAAAAGCCCTCCTTAAAACAGCAAAAATATTGTATTAAGTTGACACAACATGAAGTCGTTTTTTTTTTTTTTAGTGCGACAATTTTAG